TAACAGACATTTAATATTTCTATGGTACATAATCAGGAAAAAGGGCTTGGAATTTTTGATAGAATTACAAATGACAGGAAATAGTGGAGTGTCGTGATCGCCTACTTCAAGAAGAAGAAGTGTCTAAACTGATGCCTGTTTTAAGCGTCAACCGGAATTGACGCTTGATGGCGAAAAACTAATCTGAAGCGAAAAGCAATAAACGTTTACACACCTCAATTCATTACCGGCTCCAAATGAAAACTGCGATTTCGAAAAATAAATAAATTACAACAAGTAAATCATACAACACTACATCGCAATGACATTATTTATCAAATCGCAGAATTTAGATTTAAAATTCAAATATATTTTTAACAAATCACCAAAAAGAAATCACGTTTCAAAGCGACTATTCTGGAGCATATTTCAGAGAGAATAAAAATCGAAGACTATTTCAAATCTGAGCCAGACGACCCAAAGTTTTTCGTCACGAATGTCCATACTAAATCCTCCAGGCTGCAGATATACTATAAGATATTTCTTAATAAAATTCTTCCAACCTGCCAATTCTTATGAAGAGACAATACACTTTGTAATCCAAGGAATGGTAACAAGGGCGTTAACACATGAGCAAACAACTAGACAAAATTTCATAGAACATATTTTGACAAAAAAAGAAATTTAACTCTTTATGGTTCAGAGGTTCATCCATATTCTATGTGAACTTATCATTCTCAAAATTCTAAAATTTCATAAAAATTAATGTCAGCAAAAGGAAACAATCAAACCGTCTAAAGCATTTGTTTAAAAACTGTTACAGCCACAAATATTGGATCAGTAAATATGTACTTAAAATCTACAATTTTCTATAACAAATGTTTGTACATGTCCTTCTGTATATATATATATATATATATATATATATATATATATATATATATATATATATATATATGTAATAGGATTAATGCGATTATAACATTAGAGAATTAACACTTGTTGATATAATAGCTTCTTAGACGGCTTGCTCTTTAAACTCTTCTTCTCTCTTTTAAAGTTGTTCACTTTAAATCCTGCTCAATGAAGAAACTGCAATACAGTATCTTATAAAAATGAACGTATAATTTCGTGCAACACACTGAATAAAAAGGTGCAGGCAAACTGAAATATTGATATTTGTATCAGCACAAATGTTATGATAGAAACCAATATTTAAGAATCTAGTTAAAATAGAGCAGAAAAAATTAAGGTTAAGGATTAGGAAGAAAAAATATATCGACTAAAAAAAAAAATACAACCATTCTGATTATTGGAAATAAATTGTATTTCTGAAATTCGACATTTGATAGGGTCCGTTGGCGATATTAAGTCCCGTCAAAGAGGAAATAAATGAAGGATGTGACGGTGTCTTTCCATTAGACCATGGATTGTAGAATCAGCAATTAGCAAGAAGGCGAAAATTCCTGAAAAAAAAAGCTAATGAGAATTCTCACTCGACGAGGGTTTGTAACTACTAGTATTTGGAAGTATCTTTCATTCCCTTGTACCTCTCCATCACTAACAAGTAGTCGCCAGAAATTCTCTGTCAATGATATTAATTGTAGCTAATACATACCATATGAGTAGTAAAATTTAAAATTACAATAAAGCTATTTATTCCAATGAAAAGACGGTTGATTTGATTTTCCGCCAGGGACAGAGATAGTTCGAATTTAGTGTACTAGCCTAAAGGCAGCTATGCAGAATAACAAAGTGGCACAATTAATTCGACCATCTACGAAACAACGATCGTCATCACCAAATATTTTGAGCCATATACATAATCATATATAACGTCGTACGATGAGACACAGTTGTGGAATCTTCCACAACAAGCCAGTTAACGCCTGCTAGGGAATGCAGTAATCCCGTTGTCATTTTCACCATCACAATCTTACAAAATATATAACAAGCATTCATTGGTTAATCTACTTCAAACTAGCTCGCTGATTGGTCATTTCCGACCAATCAAACCGACTGCACGGGACAAATCTGTTTTCCTGCCTTCTCCATTTGAGCCTGTCACGTGGTACAACAAAATTATAAAAATAGAACACGTGTAAACTTTCTCTCTCTCCCTCTCGCGTCTCATCCCTTGCTACCAAGTACCAAGATGTAATCTTCAAGAATTCCCGTCTTAGCCTTTGCGGTCAGACGTTAAAGACCATTACCAACATTCACGCAAGTACGAACTCTGAAATCTCTTCTGAACTTTTAGCAACTTCTACAATACACAATTCCAAACATGCTAAAGAAACTTTATTCTTCTAGACTACACTTTAATAATTACTTTCACTTTATGAACTTAGGTACAAATATTATCTAATCTAAGAGACACAACTCTTTCTAACCTTTTCACTCAGTATTCATGCATGTATATCAAACACTAATAAATTCAATTGTTACGTTTTGAAACAAGATGTTTTTATTTATTCTCGATCTTGTATTAATTGTTGTGGATGGTAGATTATTGAACACA